GCGGAATTTCTCTTTTTTTTTTTTTTTTTTTGAGACGGCGTTTCACTCTTGTTGCCCAGGCTGGAGCACAATGGCATGATCTCAGCTCACTGCAACCTCTGCCTTCCAGGTTCACACGATTCTCCTGCCTCAGCCTTCCAAGTAGCTGAGATTACAGATGCCCACCACCATACCCAGCTAATTTTTGTATTTTTAGTAGAGACGGGGTCTCACCTTGTTGGCCAGGCTGGTCTCAAACTCCTGACCTCAGGTGATCTGCCCCCCTCGGCTTCCCAAAGTGATGGGATTACAGGCATGAGCCACCACATCTGCCTTTTTTTTTGAGACAGTGTCTCTGTCGCCCAGGCGAGAGTGCAGTGGCATGATCGCGACTCACTGCAACCTCCACCTCCAGGGCTGAAGCAATCCTCCTGTCTCAGTCTCCCAAGTAGGTGAGACTACAGGCACATACCACAATGCCTGGCTAATTTTTCTATTTTTTCTAGAGACAAGGTTTCACCATATTGCCCAGGCTGGTCCTGAACTTCTGGGCTCAAGTGATCTACCCACCTTGATCTCTCAAAGTGGCGGGATTATAGGCAGGAGCCACCACACCTGGCACAGTCTGATGAGGTTTGATTGATGCAGGTACTGGCAAAACTCTCTTTATTTATTTATTTATTTATTTTTTATTTATTTATTTTTTTTTTTTTTTGGAGACAGGGTCTCAGTCCGTCACTCAGGTTGGAGTGCAGTGGCACAATCATGGCTCACTGTGACCCCTGCCACCCAGGCTCAAGCAATCCTCCCACTTCAGCTTCCCAAGTAGCTGGGACCTCAGGTGCATGCCACCATCCCCGGCTAATTTTTGAGACGGAGTCTCGCCCTGTTGCCCAGGCTGGAGTGCAGTGGTGCAATCTTGGCTCACTGCAACCCCCACCTCCTGAGTTCAAGTGATTCTCCTGCCTCAGCCTCACAAGTAGCTGCGACTACAGACATGTGCCACCACGCCCGGCTGATTTTTTTGTATTTTTAATAGAGACAGGGTTTCACCATGTTGGCCAGGCTGGTCTTGAACTCCTGGCCTCAAGTGATCCGCCCACCTCGGCCTCCAAAAGTGCTGGGCTTACAGGTGGGACCCACCGCACCTGGCCCACTCCTGGCTAATTTTTGTATCTTTTGCAGAGACACATTTTCACCATGTTGCCTAGGCTGGTCTGGAACTCCTGAGCTGAAGCAATCCACCTGCCTCAGTCTCTCAAAATGCTAGGATTACAGATGTGAGCCACCATGCCCAGGGGGAATTTCTATACATTAACAAATGTACAATCGGAAAAGGAAATTAAGAAAACAACTCCATTTATAATAGCAGCAAAAAGAATAAGACACATAGGAATTAACCAAACAGGTAGAAAGGCTTACACAACAAAAACTATAAAACACTTCTGAAAGAAAATTTTAAAAGACATAAATAGGCCGGGCGTGGTGGCTCACGCCTGTAATCCCAGCACTTTGGGAGGCTGAGGCGGGCGGATCATGAGGTCAGGAGATTGAGACCATCCTGGCTAACACGGTGAAACCCCGTCTCTACTAAAAATACAAAAAATTGGCTGGGCGTGGTGGCGGGCACTTGTAGTCCCAGCTTCTCGGGAGGCTGAGGCAGGAGAATGACGTGAATCCGGGAGGCGGAGCTTGCAGTAAGCCGAGACTGTGCCGCTGCATTGCAGCCTATGGGATAGAGGGAGACTCCATCTCAAAAAAAAAAAAAAAAAAAAGACATAAATAAGTGGGAAAATATCACATGTTTATGAATTAGAAGGCAATATTCAGATATTAATAATTGACATTCAAATACTACCCAAAATCAATCTACCCAAAGCAATCTATGCATTCAATGCAATTCTTATCAAAATCCCAACAACTTTTTTTGTGGCACTAGAAAAAATCTATTCAAAAATTAATATAGAATCTCAAGGTATGTCAAATGGCCAAAACAATCTTAAAAGAAAAAAAAAACAAAGCTGGAGAACACACACTTCCTGATTCCAAAACGTACTACAAAGCTACAATAATAAAAACAGTATAGTACTGGCATAAACACGGACATATAGACCAACAGTATAGAATAAGAAGCCCAGAAATAAACCCTCACACACATGGTCAAATGACTTTCAACAAGTATTCCAAAACTATTCAATGGAGAAAGCGCAGTCTTTTCAACAAATGGTACCCGGAAAACTGGATATCCACACGTAAAAGAGAGAAGTTGGACCTTTACTGTTGTGGCCTGAATGTGTCCCTCTAAAATTCACATTGAAACCTAATGCCCATTGTGGTGGTATATTAGGAGGTGGAACCTTTAGGAGATGATTAGGTCATGAGGGCTCTGCCCTCATAAATAAAATTAGTGCCCTTAGAATAGAACCTTAAGGGGGCCTGTTTTCCTCTTCTGCCATGTGGGAACACATAGAAGGCACCATCTTTGAGAAAGAGAGCAAGCCCTTACCAGACACCAAAACTGCTGGCACCTTAATCCTGGACTTCCCAGTCCCAAGAACTGAATAAATTTCTGTTATTTAAAAGCTATCCAGTCCAAGGTATTTTGTTTTAGCAGGCCAAACAAACTGAGACATTTACGGAACACCACATACAAAACTTAACTCAAAATGAGTCAAATATCACTGAGGTAAAAATACATAACTCTCAGAACAACAAATAGGACAAAAGCTTCATGACACTGGGCTTGGCGATGATTTTTGGATATTTGGATAAGACATCAAAGACACAGATAACAAAAAAAAGACAAATGTGACTGCAAAAATTTTAAACTTTAGTACAACAAAAGGCACTATCAACAAAGTGAAAAGGCAACTTATGGAATAAGAAAATATATTTGCATATCATATATCTGATAACAGATTAATATCTAGAATATATAGAGAAGTCATAAAACTTAGCAAGAAAATAAACAACCAGATTAGAGAATGGGCAAAGGACTTGTGGAAATGGACAAAAAGAATAGACATTTCTCCAAAGAAGATATAAAATTGTCAACAAGCACATGAAAAGATGCTGCTGAGCATCACTAGTCATTAGGGAAATGCAAATCACAACAATAATGAGATACCACCTCACACCCATTAGGATGGTTACTGTCAAAAAAAGAAAAAAAAGTACTGAGAAGGATGCAGAGAAACTGAACCCTTGTACACTGATGGGCTGGAAGGTAACGATGGCAGAGCTGCTGAGGAAAACAGTATGGCAAGTCTTCAAATAATTAAAAATAGAATTACCATAGCACCAGCAATTCCACTTCTGAGTATACACACAAAAGAAAGAAAGATATCAAAAAGATATTTGTATCCACATTTCATAGCACCATTGTTCACAATAATTAAAACATGGAAGCAACTTGTGTCCACTGTTACATAAATAGATAAGCAAAATGAACTTCATATATGTACAATGAAATATGATTCAGCCTTAAAAAGGAGGAAATTCTGACACATGCTTCAACGTGGATAAACCTTGAGGACATTACACTAAGTGAAATAAGTCAGACACAAAAAAGAAAAATGCTGTATGATACCATTTACATAGAGTAGTCAAAACCACAGAAACAAAAAGTAGAATGATAGTTGCCAAAAGCTGGAGAAGGAGAAATGAAGAATTACAGTTTAATGGGTACAGAGCTTCAGTTTTACAAGATGAAAAGAGTTATGGGGATAGATGGAGGTGATAGTTGCACAGCAATATGAATGTACTTATTATCCCTAAACTGTACAATTAAAAATCACTAAGGTACAAACTTTGTTATATTGTATTTTACCAATATATTGGTAAAAATAATACCAATTATTATTTTATTTATATATGTCATGTATATAACATATAACATATTATAATATATAAATAAAATAATATAGATTATATATTATAACATAAATATTTATGTTATATATTATATATATTTATATAGATTATATATAAATATATATAGATTTTTTTTTTTTTTGAGATGGAGTCTAACTCTGTCGCCCAGGTTGGAGTGCAATGGCGTGATCTCGGCTCACTGCAACCTCCACCTCCCGGGTTCAAGCAATTCTCCTGCCTCAGCTTCCTGAGTAGCTGGAATTACAGGCGTGTACTACCACGCCCGGCTAATTTTTGTATTTTTAGTAGAAACGGGGTTTCACCATGTTGGTCAGGTTGGTATTGAACTACTGACCTCGTGATCCGCCCGCCTCGGCCTCTCAAAGTGTGGCCACCGCGCCCAGCCCACAATATTTTTTTTTAAGTTAGGTATGGTCCAAGAAGCCTAGGCTATAAAGTGACACAGCTATTTCCAACCCAAGTCACTCTCACCCAGTGTCCTTCCTTGACAGTAAATTGCAGAGGTAGGGGGGAACCTGCTTGTTTCCTAAATACACCAAAAAGTAAATTACCTAATATACAATATCGTTTCCAGGCTGGGCTCATTGGCTCCTGCCTGAAATCCCAACACTTTGGGAGGCTGAGGCAGGCAGATTACTTGAGCTCAGGAGTTCAAGACCAGCCTGGGCAACATAGCCAAACCCCGACTCTATGAAAAATACAAAAAATTAGCCAGGTGTGGTGGTATGTGCCTGTAGTCCCAGATACTCTGGAGGCTGAGGTGGGAGGATCATTTGAGCCCAGGAGATCGAGGCTGCAGTAAGCCCAGTGCACTCCAGTCTGGGCAACAGAGTCAGACAGACCCTGTTTCTAAGGGAAGGAAAAAAAAAAAAAAAAAGAGTATAGTTTCCCTGATTTATACCCCCCACCAAAAAAAACAAAAAAGAAAATTAAGTTAGTCATTACTTGGATATGTTTATTACTCATTATTCAGGACTGGTGGCCCTGAATAGATAGAAGGTCACCCATTCCGGACTGAAAATGTGGTGTTTGATATATCAAATTTAATGACTACTGTGAAAATGCTATCCCCTTCTACCCATCATAGCTCTCTATTTCCCCATGCCAATGTAAATACACTGACTTACCCAGTTGGTTATTTCAGGCCTTTTGCACTTATCAGTACAAAGAATGGCTACAAAATTGATTGTTCCCTTCCGTCGCCCTTTATAGACAACAGTCTTGCTTCCTCTTCCAATCTCCTCATACAGAATAAAGTTTTCCATCTCTGGGCCGATTTCTCACATACAGTAGAATAATAGCATCTCTAGCTCCTAAAAAGTAAACAAAAATGACATTGATAAATGCAAGCTAGTTGCATAATAATTACGCTAGGATAATTAGCCCAGGATATTTTATGTGTAAAAAAATCTAGCAATTCGACAAATTCAGAAAATTCACCTACAAATGTTAAATACTAGTGCTAATGTTTTTGCAGGATGAACGAAGCTACGGAGCAAATAAATAAAATTTCACAGCTGGCGCAGTGGCTCACGCCTGTAATCCCAGCACTTTGGGAGGCCGCGGCAGGGGGATCCCCTGAGGTCAGGAGTTCGAGACCAGCCTGGCCAACATGGTGAAACCTTGTCTCTACTAAAAACACAAAACTTGGCCAGGCGTGGTGATGCGCGCCTGTAATCCCAGCTACGCGGGAGGCTGAGGCAGGAGAATCGCCCACGCCTAAGTAACAAAAGGACCACAGGCTATTCCCTTTGCAAAAAAAAAAAAAAAAAAAAATTCACAAACCAATATTCAAGTTCCCATCAACAAGATCTTTTTAAAACACAGTGGCCGCCCATGCCTCTAGGGCGGGTAGATTTCCCGACATTCCATGCGGCCGGCCCTTCCGCCACGGCCACCATTGGAGAGCGGCAGCCATGGCTCTGAGCTACCCTGTGGCCGTGGGCCTCGATGAGGGCTACAGGGTGACCAAAAATGGGAGCAAGCCTAGCCCAGCCACCGCCAAAGTGGGCAACAGACTAAGCACACCAAGTTTGTGTGGGACATCATCCCAAAGGTATATGGCTTTGCTCCCTACGAGCCGGCGTGCCATGGAGTTGCTCAAGGTCTCCAAGGCCAAATGGCCCTCAAGTTCATCAAGAAAAGAGTGGGGGACACATCCGCACCAAGATGAATAGATAAGAGCTAAGCAACGTCCTGCCCGCCAAGAGGAAAGTGGCCGCCAAGAAGGACTGAGGCCCCCTACCCTCTGTCAATAAAACCTTCACAGAAAAAAAAAAAAGGTGAAAATAACAGCTATTTCGAACAAGAGTAACAAAATCCAGGTATGAATTAGATTTTACCCAACATCTCGTATCTTACTTTCTCAGTTACAATGGAAACCTGGTACAATGGAAAACAACATCTGCACAATGGGATAATATGTGAGGCAGAATAGGGTCTAGAGGCAGGGAACCTAAGGCTGTTTCACACTGACTTCTTATAACAAAATTGAAAGGAAAACCCTAACTTTCCACGCCTAAGTAACAAAAGGACCACAGGCTATTCCCTTTGCAAACCCCCTACCTTTTCTAGGCAGCAGATGGGAAATTAACTGATCGCAACCAATCAGAGTGATTGGGGCGGAGTCTTGGTTTGCAACTTTGTAACTTCACCTTAGCATCTAACTGGCTGCAGAGAATGGAATCAATGAATGAAATGTAATCAATGAAATTGGCTGATGGCAACCAATCAGACCGATTGCAGGCCACCACTGATTTACGGGAGGTGAGCATGAAAAGGCCAATGGGAAACTTCTAGGGAGTATTTGGACTGGGTATCCGTATCCCGGACTTCCAGTGCTGCTCAGGCAGGTCCCACACTGTGGAGTGTACTTTCCTTTTTAATAAATCCCTGTTTTCATTCTTTTGTTGCTTCATTCTTTCTTTGCTTTGCTGGGCATTTTGTTCAATTCTTTGTTCAAAACGCCAAGAACCTGGACAACCTGCAGTCAAGACCCTCTGCCAGTCTTGACTGGTATGCCCCACCTAAACCTTATAAATTATGAGAAGCAAAAGAGAAAACAAGTGAAAATACAGTATAAACAAATATGGAATGATAAGTCCATGTAATCCCTAGAGGCCGAAGGAGTCAATCCAAATACCATTAATACTACTGGCTCGTAGGCCAAATTGGGCATGCTGCCTACTTTTGTAAATAAAGTTTAATTGGAACATAGCCACACCCATTCATTTATATATTGCTTATGGCTGCTTTCAAACTGCTATATATTGCCTATGACAGAGTTGAGTGGTTGTGACAGAGACTCTACAGCCTGCACAAGCCCTAAAATATTTACTATTTGTCTCTTCATTAAAAAAAAGTTTGCCAACCCCTGCTCTAAATCAAGATGTTTGTTGTTGTTGGTTTAACCAAGGACTTCAACCTTCACCTAAGGTATAAGAAGTTAAATGAGTTCGTTTTCTTGGCCAACATAACCCTTTAATTTTCATAAGTAAATAAGGACTTGATGTAATCGCTTATCAGACATCTTATTTAGAATTTCAGTTAAAGTGGAATTAGAGTATTAAACAATATATGAGAAGTTAATCTAAGTAACTCATTAAAATCATTCTTTCAGTCTGAATACAGTGGCTCACGCCTGTAATCCCAGCACTTTGGGAGGCTGAGGTGAGCTGATCACCTGAGGTCAGGAGTTTGAGACCAGCCTGACCAACATGGCAAAACCCTATCTCTACTAAAAATACAAAAATTAGCCAGGCATGGTGGCACACGCTTGTAATCCCAGCTACTCAGGAGGCTGAGGTAGGAGAATCGCTTGAACCCAGGAGGCAGAGGTGGCAGTGAGCTGAGATGGTGCCACTGCACTCCAGCCTGGAAGACAGAGCACCACTCAAAAAAAACAAATCCATCTTTCATAACCTGGCATCTCTTTGGAAAGATATGTTAGACTATATTAAACTTTCCAGAAACTCACAATATATCTACATATCAAAACAGCACATTGGCCAGGCACGGTGGCTTGCACCTATAATCTCACCCCTTTGGGAGGTCAAGGCAGAAGAATTGCTTGAGCCCAGGAGATTGAGGCTGCAGTGAGCCACAATTGCATCATGGTACTCCAGCCTAGGCAACAGAGTGAGACCATGTCTCAGATAAAAAAAAAAAAGAAAGAAAAAAATGTAAAAAGCACATTGGGCTGAACTCAATGGCTCATGCCTGTAATTCCACCACTTTGGCCAAGGAGGGAGGTTCAGTTGAGGCCAGGAGTTTGAGACCAACCTGGGAAACATGGCGACACATCATCTCTACACAATATTTTAAAATTTTAAAAAATTAGCCAGCAGTGGTAGCCTGTGCATGTAGTCCCAGTTATTTGGGAGGCTAAGGCAGGAGGATAGCTTGAAGAGGCAGAGGATGCAGTGAGCCAAGATCTCACCACTGCACTCCAGCCTGGGCAACAAAGTGAGCCCCTGTCTCAAAAAAAAAAAAACTTTGTATACCTCAAATACATACAATTACTGGTAGATCATACCTCAATATGGGTATATTAAAGAATTAAAAGCAGGGTCTCAGAGATATTTGTACCCCACATATTCACAGCTGCATTATTCACAGTAGTTAAAACATGGAAGCAACTTGTGTCCACTGAAACATGGATAAGCAAAATGTAATATATTTTGCTTTTGCAAAAACAAAGTTTTAGAGACTGGTGCACAACAATGTAACTGTTCTTAACCTCTACTAAACTTGTACCCTTAAAAAGGGTTAAGATGGTAAATTTTATGTGTATTTTACCACAATTAAAAATTTTTTAAGACTTCAAAAAATTAATAACAAAACTGGTGAATATATTGGCTGGATGTGGTGGCTCAAGCCTGTAATCCCAGCACTTTAGGAAGTCGAGTCAGGCAGATCGCCTGAGGTCACAAGTTCGGGACCCGGCTGGCCAACATGGTGAAACCCCATCTCTACTAAAAATATAAAAAAAAAAAAAATTATCCAGGAATGGTTGCACACACCTGTAATCCCAGCTACTCAAGAGGGTGAGGCAAGAGAATTGCTTGAACCCGGAAGGCGGAGGGAGGTTGCAGTGAACTGAGATTGCACCATTGCACTCCAGCCTGGGCAACAAGAGTGAAACTCTGTCTCAAAAAAAAAAAAAAAAAAAATTAAGAAAACTCATTTTACAGATCAAAAAAAAATCCAAGATTGTTCTATCCTAGGAGAGGAAAATTTTTTTCTATAAAATGTTAGGGGGAAAAATTTTAGGTTTTACACTTTATGGTTTCTGTCACAGCTACTCACCTTTGCTCTTGAACTAGAAAAGCAACCAGAGACAATAAGCAAATGGATGGATATGGCTGAGTTCCATTAAAACTTTTATTTATGGGCGGGGTGCGATGGCTCACACCTGTAATCCCAGCACTTTGGGAGGCCAAGGCAGGTAGATCACCTGAAGTCAGGAGTTCAAGACTAGCCTGGGCAACATGACGAAACACCATCTCTACTAAAAATAGAAAAATTAGGCCAGGCGCAGTGGCTCACACCTGTAATCACAGCACTTTGGGAGGCTGAGGCGGGTGGATCACCTGAGGTCAGGAGATCAAGACCATCCTGGCTAACACAGTGAAACCCCATCTCTACTAAAAATACAGGAAATTAGCCAGGCATGGTGGCGTGCACCTGCAGTCCCAGCTACTCGGGAGGCTGAGGCAAGGGAATGGCTTGAACTCAGGAGGCGGAGGTTGCAATGAGCCAACTGCACCACTGCACTTCAGCCTGGGTGACAGAGACACCATCTCAAAAAAAAATAATAATAATTAATTAGTTAAAAACAAAAAGGCACTGGTTAGTATCTTTCTTTTCATGACAGTTTCCGTAAGTCCTTTTTATATTCCTCTTCGTTCTAAAACGCATTCATTAAAAAGAATGAACTCCTACCACACCCAGCTAATTTTTTGTGTTTTTGGTAGATATGGGGTCCTGCTATGTTGCCCAGGCTGGTCTAGAACTCTTGGCCTAAAGTGATCCACCTGTCTCGGCCTTCCAAAGTGCTAGGATTATAGGTATGAGCCACCGCGCCTGCCAGTAAGTTATTTTTCAACGTAATCCCAACACTTTTGGAGGTGGAGGCAGGATTGTCTGAGGCCAAGAGTTCAAGACCAGCCTGGGCAACATGATGAGATCCGGACTCTACACAAATACAAAAAGCCTGGCATAGTGGTGCACGCCTGTGAGGCCTCAGCCTCCCAAGTAGCTGGGACTACAGGTGCGTGCCACCAGCAGCTACATGGTATGTATTATAACCAAAATAAGATTAAACTGACAGTATGCTAAGATGGGAAGTTATTAAGACAGAAAAAATATAATCAGAAACATTAAGTGTTCAGAAATTGTCTACATTAGGATATATCAGGATAAGATGATAAAATAAGTTTTCATAAGGTATGTATAACTGAGTTCTTGAAAATAAGGTTTGAGGCTACAGGTGAAAAAATGAAGTACAATCTTGGGTTTTTTTGTGTTTGTTTGTTTGTTTTAAGGAAGGCTAAGTCTTGAACCCCTGGGCTCAAGCAATCCTCCTGCCTCAGACTCCCAAAATTCTGGAATTACAGGTGCAAGCCACCGCCCAGCCAATCCTGAAATTTTGAATTTGATTTAGGCCAAATTCATTTCCTTAACCTTTACTTTAGTCACATCTGACCATCAAGTCATATCTGGACAATTTCCATCTGAAATTAACAAAACACATTAGCTATAAATCTGCTTAGGGTGGTTTGTTACTTTCAAACATTTCTCCTCTCTAGGGCTTAGTTTCCTTAGAGTAAAATAAGAATTGGATCAGGTGATTTTCTATCTTTTTTTTTTGGACAGGGTCTCACTCCGTGGCCCAGGCTGGAGTGCAGGAGCAAGATCTAGGCTCACTGCAACCTCCACCTCCAGGGTTCAAATGATTCTCGTGCCTCAGCCTCCAGAGTAGCTACCTCAGCCTCTGGCACGCCACCACACCCAGCTAATTTTTTGTGTTTCTGGTAGATATGGGGTTTCGCTATGTTGCCCAGGCTGGTCTAGAACTCCTGGCCTCAAGTGATCCGCCTGTCCCTGGCTTCCAAAGTGCTAGGATTACAGGTATGAGCCACCGCTCCTGGCACTAAGTTATTTTTCAATAACTTATTAATCGTTGAAATTCCATGACTTTAAGATTCTTTAACTCAGTCCAAAGACGTTCCTCATTACAGACTTCCTAATATTCATTTTTAAATCTGTAACCTCTTAGTTGTAAAATAAAACACAAATACAGAAAACTCCACAAAATATAGTTTAATGAATTACGAAAGAGGGACACCCTTCTAATCACCATCCAGGATCAGGAAATAGGACTTTGCCAGCCACATAAGAAGCCCCTCCGTGAGCCTATCTCAATCACCAACCCTCCTGATACCCACAAGTAACCACTCCCTGACTTTCGTAGTCATCACTTCCTTACGTTTCTTCATGGTTTTCTCACCCGAGTATGCTTTCTGAGAAACCACAGTTTAGTCTCTTAACCTATAGTGCTCCTAGGGAAGTCTCTCTTAATTCACAAGTTCACCTAAGCATCTAAGAAGCCAGAAGGCAGAGGTGCAAATGAGGCATTTAAGAGTCAGGGGGCAGGTCCTACATTCAAGGAACGCTGAGAGCGACCAGGTGATAAGAGCGCACAAGTGCCCACCTTCAGCACAATCATGACTCCCGCACCAGAAGCATGAGCATCACCTGGGACTTAATAGAAATGAAAAAGTTATCGGCCCTGCCCCAGATTTACAGAATCATACACTCCGGCGGTAGGGCCTGGCCTTCTGTGTTACTACACGCCCTGGGGTGACTGGGATGCGCTCAAGTGTGCGAACTGCCGGCCAAATCAACCTTCGCCTGAGATGTAACGGATGGCGAGCGCCATGCTAAGCACTCCATAGGTGTTCCTCCTCGCTGCACTTCACAGACTCAATTATCACAGACTCAGGGTCGCTACGTAGTCACTCGCACCCCACTCCCCAGGCAGCTCGCGGCGGGCGAATCGGCGGCTTTCGCGGCCTCGCCACGTCCGTAGGCATCAGTTCGCGAGGCCGGCTGGGAGCCTAGGAAGCGCTGCAGGGCGGTGAAAACGCGGTCCGCTCTGGGGAGTTAAGAGGTGGCGTCCATAAAGCACCATCTCCCAAGCCGAAAAACACGAGCCCTCTCTCCCCGCTGCACCCAGCTCCTAGAAAAGGCGTCCTGTGTGCCCTTAACTAAAGCCCGGATAAAAACGGGCGGTTTTTCGTTTAACAAGAGCGCAAAGCAGGGGAGTGAAGGGGGCACGGGGTCTACGGCCAGAAGGAGAGAGGGCGGACAGGCGCCCCCACCCTCCCCCCCCCGCCCCCGCAGGCCTGCGCTCTCTTCTGCGACCGCTTAGGCAGACACGAACCCAGACTCGTGGCTACTAAAACCGCCACAGCCACGCACCTGGTAGGTAAGTCAAGAAAAGACTCGAGTCCACTAGGCTGCTCCCGCGGTTGCGCGCATCTCGGCCTCTGCCTCAGGACAGGTCCACATTCCCAAGAATAGGGGAGAAAGCAGTGAAGCAAAGCGGAACGCGCGGAAGCGCCGACCAGCCTTACGGAGGCGGAGCCCCTCCAGGTTTGGATTCGTCCATACGGTTTCCAGGGCAGCACACAGAACGCCGGAAGAAGCTCACGAAGCTGACTGGCTGTACAGTTTCCGTTCCTGTTGGCGGGGACCCGGAAGTGAGTGACCACGGGAGCCCCTCCCTCCACCCAAAGGGCTTCACGCCCGGCCTTTGGACGAGCCCACAGGCTAGAGACTGGGAGTAACCACCACCCCTCTATGTTTGGATTTGCTCATTCCATCTCCATGGCTGCACGCAGAACGCCGGAAAAACGCAAAGCGCTGATTGGCTAAGAGTCTCAGTTCCTATTGGCTAGAGCCTGAAGCCAGTGAGGGACTATTCTTCAATCTTAAGTGGGTGCTGAGGCTGGAGTATGAAGTCTTGGGCTGTCGTCGTTTCTTCTCTTCCCGTCCCCACTGTACTGTTTCCTTCCATTCTCTTCTTTCTGGCGTCTTCTGGGAGCCCAGGTGGACGTGGTGGCAGAGTCTGGATAACCAACAGCGGCGCAGAAGCAGGGGTCCCGGAGTCCTCACCATTTAGAAAAGAGAAGGCTGTGAATTACCTTCCTTTCTGGAGATGGAGGAAACAGATGAGACACTCTGATCCCAAGTTGATTGTGTAAACTAAAAATAAAAGTTCCGGCCGGGCGCGGTGGCTCAAGCCTGTAATCCCAACACTTTGGGAGGCTGAGACGGGCGGATCACGAGGTCAGGAGATCGAGACCATCCTGGCTAACACGGTGAAACCCCGTCTCTACTAAAAAATACAAAAAACTAGCCGGGCGAGGTGGCGGCGCCTGTAGTCCCAGCTACTCGGGAGGCTGAGGCAGGAGAATGGCGTGAACCCAGGAGGCGGAGCTTGCAGTGAGCTGAGATCCGGCCACTGCACTCCAGCTTGGGCGACAGAGCGAGACTCCGTCTCAAAAAAAAAAAAAAAAAGTTCCAAGCCCCCCTACCAACTGAGTGGACCCCTCCTCTGGGCCAAAGGCATGCCAAAGTTAACCTGAAGAACTAACACAGGCCATGATGGGAAGATGGGGTGGGACAGGCTTCGTTATACCCTCCTCCCTTTGGAATACAGGCACAGCTGACCAGCATTAACATTAATCAGAGACCATAAGACTGACGAAACAGACTTTTTGCAGCAATAAGATACCAACATGGCAGCAAGCCCCGAAAGACATTGAAGTATTTTATCCATATATGTATATATGCACACACACATATACATATATATTCTTAAATAAAATATATATACATATGTACTCATATATATTTTGAGACGGAGTCTCACTCCGTCACACAGGCTAGAGGGCAGTGGCGCAGTCTCGGCTCACTGCAACCTCCACCTCCTGGGTTCAAGTGATTCTCCTGCCTCAGCCTCCCAAGTAGCTGGGATTACAGGCGTGTGCGACTACACTGACTAATTTTTAGTAGAGACGGGGTTTCACCCTGTTGGCCAAGCTGGTCTTGAACTCCTGACCTCAGTTGATCCACCCGCCTTGGTCTCCCAAAGTGCTGGGATTACAGGTGTGAACCATTGTGCCCAGTCAAATATATTTCTTTGACGTATTTTGAAATGGCTTTGCAGCGCTATTTCTTCTCGGGGGAAAATCGACATTCTGTGACGAATCCCCTTGTCTTTCCAGGTCTTTTCCCTGATGCTGGAGAGAATTAACTAAGAACCTGACACCTGTTTTAAGTCTGATAAGAAACATTTACGATCTATTCTCTCTGAAACCTGCTACATAGAGGCTTCATCTGCATAACAAGAACCCTGGTCTCTGCAACCTTTTATCTAAACCCAGACACTGCTTTCTGTTGGTTCCAGGTCTTTATATAATAACTCTTTTAACCAATTGCCAATTGTAAGGTATATGGATGTGCTTTGGTCAAGGAATACGCCAAGGTGGATATCCGGGCCAGAGCGACTCAGCGAGTTTAGGATACAGGCGCGTATTCCACTTGTTATATAACTTGTTTACGTAAGTTCATATTTGAATCTGAGCCACTGTTACCTGTTGAAGGTATAACTGCCCTACTGACACTGTGTACAGGGCTGAGTTCAGCACAGCATGACCTGGTTCGTGCACTGGTGCCCAGAGTAATGCTACTAACCCCTCTAAGGGAGAGCGGTTGCCCTTAAGGTGGGCAGAGGGGAGCTGAGCCAGGAACCAGCTTTTGCCCAGAGGGAGAGTTAAGCTGCTGACCCTGACAGACCTGGCTTTGCAGGCCAGGGAGTGCAGCTGCAGGCATGGGGGCAACAGGAGCCACAGAGCCAGAGCAGACAGTCGAGATAAAGCTGGACAGTGTGGGAGGGCTCGTGCGATTAAGCTGCTGATGAGAGAGCTGCTGAATAAAACTACATTTCACTTGCCTACACGCCCCCCACCCCCACTAGTGTTCTTTTAGCTATTCACCCATCCATCCACTCCCCTTGGACCTCAGCTGGGGTTGGAACTTGACAATTGGCATAGTCGTGGCATAACACCAATCACCTATTAAATCCACCCTGATGTAGAAGCTCTTTCCAGCTTTCCTGACCCAACCATTACCTTATGTTATGTATTGATTGGTATCTTATTTCTCCGTAAAACATGTGAAACCAAGCTGCAGCTCGGTCACATTAGCTGTCAGGCCTCTGAGCCCGAGCTAAGCCATCATATCCCCTGTGACCTGCATGTATACATCCAGCTAGGCTGAAGCAACTGAAGATCCACAAAGGAAGTGAAAATAGCCTTAACTGATGACATTCCACCATTGTGATTTGTTTCTGCCCCACCCTACCTGATCAATGTATTTTGTAATCTCCCCCACCCTTAAGAAGGTTCTTTGTAATTCTCCCCACACTTGAGAATGTACTTTGTGAGATCCACCCCCTGCCCGCAAATATTGCTCCTAACTCCACTGCCTATCCCAAAACCTATAAGAACTAATGATAATCCCACCACCCTTTGCTGACTCTCTTTTCAGACTCAGCCCGCCTGCACCCAGGTGAAATAAACAGCCTTGTTGCTCACGCAAAGCCTGTTTGGTGATCTCTTCACATGGAGGCGTGAGACATTAGCCACATGTTCTTAGGGCCTCTTGAGACTGCCTCGAGCCATGGTCACTCAGATTTGGCTCAGAATAAATCTCTTTAAATATTTTACAGAGTTTAACTCTTTTTGTCAACTATCACTTAAGGCTTTCAAAGCTCCACACTTGCAAATTTCAACCACCAGACACATTGGAACCTGTACTCCAGCCTCAGTAACACAGCAAAACCCTCTCTCTAAAAAGGAAATATAAAAAGAAATTTTATTTTTTGCTAATTTTACAAGCATTGCTATTATTTAATGCCTCTTTGTATGAAGTAACAAATAAATTTCTTTTCTGCAGCATTTAATGCAATCCTTTGCCTAAAGAAGGAAATTTCTATGTGCTTGAATGATTCTTTTTTTTTTTTGAGACAGAGTTTCACTCTTGTTGCCCAGGCTGGAGTGCAATGGCGCAATCTCACCTCACCACAACCTCTGCCTCCCGAGTTCAAGCAATTCTCCTGCCTCAGCCTCCTGAGTAGCTGGGATTACAGGAATGCGCCGCCACCTCGCCCGGCTAAGTTTATGTACTTTCAGTAGAGACGGAGTTTCTTCATTTTGGTCAGGCTGGTCTGGAACTCCCGACCTCAGGTGATCCGCCCACCTGGGCCTCCCAAAGTGCTGGGATTATAGGCGTAAGCCACCATGCCCGGTCGAGAGATTCTTTATGATCATCCAGAGGTGAGAAAATGAACCAGCTCCCCACTTCAGCATCCTTCAATGCAAAAGTGGTTTGCAAACTTTACCATCAGAATCACCTGGAGCTCTTGTTAAAACGTAGATTTCTGGCCCCACCTATAAAACTTCTGGTTCTGTATCTCAATGGGGCCTAAAATTTTGCATTTCTATCAAGTTACCAGGTGATGTCAATGTTGCAAGTTGAGCACCACACTTTTCAAACAAACATCTAGAAAAAATGTTCTGATCTCAGGTAAATCACATCTCCTTTTACTTCTAACCCTTCCTGCCTTCTCAAGAATCCCAGTATCCATTATTGTCAGGTGGGTGTATTTAACAGCTTTGGTAGGGAAAACGTTTCCTCATGGACTACTGCCAAATTAATGAAGATTAAAACTTTGAAATTTTTTTTTTTTCTGAGTTCTGATAAATAAGCTAAAAGTTCATGTCAGAAGCAATATCAGATCCTGGGTCTTCTTAGCCTAAGCTCCTTGGATGCTTCTGTCAGAGGCATGCCAACCAGAGTGACTCCATCTTGAATAGGGGCTGGGTAAAATAAGGGTGAGGCCTTCTGGGCTGCATTCCCAGGTGGTTAGGCATTCTTAGTCATGGGATGAGAGAGGAGGTTGGCACAAGCTACAGGTCAGAAGACCTTGCTGATAAAACAGGTTGCAGTAAAGAAGCCAGCCAAAACTCACCAAAACCAAGATGGTGACAAAAGTGGCCTCTGGTCACCCTCACTGTGCATTATACGCTAATTAAATACATTAGCATGATAAAAGACACTCCCACCAGTGCCATGACAATTTACAAATGCCATGGCAACATCAGGAAGTTACTCTATTTGGTCTAGAAGTGGGAGGTACCCTCAGTTCTGGGAACTGCCCACGCTTTTTGCGGAAAACTTACGAATAATCCACCCGTTGTATAGCATATATCAAGATATAGACTGGGCATGGGGGCTGACGCCTGTAATCCCAGCACTTTGAGAGGCCAAGGTGGGCAGATCACTTGAGAGCAGAAGTTTAAGACCAGCCTGGCCAAAATGGTGAAACCCCATCTCGACTAAAAATACAAAAATTAGCCGGGCATGGTGGCACGCACCTGTAATCCCAGCTACTCAGGAGGCTGAGGTGGGAGAATTGCTTGAACCCGGACAGGGTCGGGGGCTGAGGTTACAGTGAGCCAAGATGGCACCACTGCACTCCATCCTGGGCGACAGAGTGAGACTCTGCCAAAGAAAGGAAGGCAGGAGGGAGGGAGGGAAGGAAGGAAGAAAGGAAGGAAGGGAGGGAGGGAGGCATGCAGGCAGGTAGGCAGGTTGGAAGGAAGGAACTATAACAATTATCAGTCCAGCAGCCCAAGCTGCTGCCCTGCCTGTGGAGTAGCCATTCTTTTATTCCTTCACTTTCTTAATGAACTTACTTTCGCTTTCTTG